TAACCTGTGACTAACATACTTTTGGGCAATAGTTATGTAAAACAGGCGAATTGATATTCGTTTTCTTTATGCTGATATACAAAATATTTGTATTCCTAAACACGTTCTGGGACAACATTTGACCTATTGGTCCATCTCGACTGTTCCATCCTCTAAATTAAACTATTAATAACAAAATTATAAAAAATCTTAAACCAAGCCCTTATCATTCATATACTTATCAAGCTTTCTATTAAAGTCACTTAAATTTACTGCCTTTAGAACATCTGAAGGCAACCCATTTCAAAGGCCAAGCACCCTATTAGAAAAATAAAACTGTCTTAGCTGAAGATGACTCCTACCTTGCCCAAATTTATATATGTGTCCCCTAGTTCTACTATTCTCACTCTTAAATACGAAAAAAAGATGATGCATCAACACTATCAATTCCCATTACAATCTTAAACATCTCACTCAAATCCCCTAACTCTTCTTTTTTTCAAGAGAAAAGAATTTGAGAGATTTCAGCCTCTCCTCATATGACAACCCCTTCATCCCAGGCACCATTCTAGTAACCCTTCTCTGAGCTATTTCCAACAATTCAATGTCCTTCCTAAGGTAAGGAGCCCAAGCTTGAACAAAATATTCCAAATGTGGCCTAATCAGTGACCTATACAATGAAATTGTAACCTCTTTATACTTGTATTCAATATTTCTGTAGATACAACCTAAAATCCTATTTGCCCTACCACTAGCAACAACACACTGCTTGGATGGCTTTAGTGACTGATCGACCATTACACCAAGATCCAAATTATAATTCAACGGAGAATCATCTTCCAGGAAGACAATGATAGCAAGAATTCGACAAACGTAGCTAAATGACGTACTGATGATAAGGATATCATGGAACATCTTAAATCTTGTCTTAACCTGAACAGAGATGCAACCCGAGTAAACTTAAGGCTCGGGTGGGGTGGGGGAGTAAAATAGAAGTTAAAAGCGACGAAACAACTCTGCGTTATATGGGAGTAATACAGAACATGATTAACAACGTGTAAGGTAACAGGCTCACATACAAAGTACTAGTACAACTCATGCGAATTTAATAAAGGTGATGTACCATTAATAATTTCACCACAGAGTTATAATTACTCGTTGTCTGTAGATCATCTACGTTTGTATGTTTCCATAATTATTTCCCTTAACGTGCAGCAAGTTAATGCATTTGGGTTATCATAATTTGAATTATAGGTTCTTGCCATAAATACTGGGTTAAAAGTTATCTTCTTGCTGTATATACTGGGTTAAAAAGCTATCTTCAGGAGACAAAGATACATTAGTACCAAGTGGTCTCAAGGGACATAAAGCTGATATTTAAAATCCCTCAGAAACACTATTTTACTGGGTTAAAAAGTTATATATACAGCAAGAAGATAACTTTTAACCCAGTATTTATAGCAAGAAGATAACTTTTTAACCCAGTATTTATGGCAAGAATATAACTTTTAACCCAGTATTTATAGCAAGAAGATAACTTTTTAACCCAGTATTTATGGCAAGAATATAACTTTTAACCCAGTATTTATAGCAAGAAGATAACTTTTTAACCCAGTATATACAGGAAGATCTTTTGACAAGATTTATACTCTACCGTCGTCTATCTCACGAAAAATGTATTCTGAGGTTCTTATCACCTTTGAAAAGTTTCAATTTTTTACTTGGAATCTTTCTGTTGTAACTAGTACAACTTTAACGTACCCTCTTCAGTCTTGAATACAGATCCTACCTGAACATGGAGTACCGAACTTGACTTCATCTCACTTGTCTTTCACTATTTCAGTCCTTCATATCACCCGTTTCTGTTTACCGTGGCAATTATTTCGATTTAAACCTTTTAACCCCAAGTCAAATTAACATAGCCAAGCTATATGTATCGTAAAAGAATAGATTTTATAGGCTTTACACTGATGTAAAACACTCTGATTGCTCAAGTAACAACCAATTACAGAATGAGGAATCAATGACGGTACTATGTAGTTCATTTTCACGTTTTTTTACACTTTTATTCCTCATGGTTTTCATGATTATTCTATCTATCTCTAATGTATAAAGTGATTATCCATTTAGTGTTTACATTTTTTGACTTAAGAGACGTGTGAAACATGTGTAAACCACCATATAATAACCAAGAAGTTCAGTTCTGCACATTAAGCACCATAAATGTATACGTCATACTTAATTTATCACATGTTTAAGTATCCTCGAGAGCTACTGCGAGATATGGTGGTTGCTGTGTGTTCGTCCGTACTTCTAGTTTTGCATCCAATGGTGATAGTACTCTGAGATGGGCATCCAATAGAATCTTGATTTGTCTCATAGATTCGTAGTCATCTGATTTTGCATGACGGAAGGCATGGCTACAGCTTAACGTACGTTTATTCATCTAACGATAAATATCTAATTGATTCAAGATATTGTATTAATAGTAACAACCTTCCCGTCCCAAAGTGATGGTGTAACAAGAGGAAACCTAGATTACTTATACTGTTACGTGTGGTTTATTCATGCTTTTCCAGTAACAGTGAAAGGATCTTAAACATCCATATTAACACATTTGTTTTTCTACTTTGATCATTTAAACCATTGGCTATCTTGTAAATAGTCGAGAATCACTTAGCTTAATATTGTTATATTATGATACGACATTCTGGATCTAACTAGCATGACTTTGCTTGTTTTAGGTCTCATTATCAATCGGGTGGAAAACTATTAAGATAATTCCTCCGAGGATTATATCGGTTTTCTAAAATAGTGCGTACACGAAAACTCTTGAGTTGGCTGGTAGTAGGTCTTTTGACCAACGTTATAAGTCATTAGTAAAGACATCTGTGCTAGACATCTGGAGCTAGATGTGGCCTTAGAATTCATTGTTCGCGAACCGCTGCGGCAAAAACTACTGGTTTAATCCTACTATTCAATCAGAAAAGAGTAACACAAAAGTTGGCGGTGGGCGTTGTTGGTTAACTGCCTTTTCTCTAGTCTATCAGCTCAATATTCGGGACGGCTATGCGTAGAAAGCTCTTTGCGCATAGATTTCAAAACAGTTAAGAAATAAACAAGCCTTTAAAGTTTTTATTAGCGTCTAATACCTTACGTAGAATATATATTACAAGCAGGATACGAAGATATCTTAGAAACCCAATAATAAGATACCTTTAAGATACCAATAATAAGATACCTTTCGCCTGATTTAGTGCTAGACAAAGGTTCCCAAACAAAAAGTAAATAATTTGAAATGGATTATCATTCAGGCAAACGAAAATCATTAGGTGTTCAGTGAGTAAAATTCAGTAAAACGACATCTGGTGTTGAAGGTTTCAAGAAATAAGGTTGTTCATAAAGGTTTAACATTCGACTAAAACAAATTCTAGCTCATTGCAAGCGGTTTTTTTATTTGTTTGTTAAAGAGTACAAAACGGTTATTATGACAAATTAGACGAAAAAGGAAAAGTACAACAGGGCGACTGTTTAAGTGTTTTAAGAAATTGGCAACCTTTTGAGTTCCATATTCTAATGACAAAGCTCAACATTTATTTTAGATATACGCATTGGCTCGTTAAAGTTGGAGATGCTTGAAATGTCATTACGCATTTTTAACTGGAACTCTCGTTGGACCGTTTAGGACTCTGAATAAGATAAACTATCAGCAGTTGTATTCCATTGTTTAAATAATCTATGAAGGTTTATAATTTTTACTTTCGGATTTTTCTTTCATTAAATATTTGTTCACGTCATAAAACTGGTGTGTGTCTGCGGATCAATGTTGGACACGTAATGCTTCCGAACACTCACTTTGAGTCGTGTGTGCATAATGAAAGTAACCGTGATCAGAGTTTGTTTGTTTGTTTGTTTTTGAATTTCGCGCAAAGCT